GTTAGAATTCTGCGAACGGATTATAAGTGTTGTGGAAATGAAGATTCACTGCAAACCCATTCACAGTAAAGCACTTGAGATTCTCGATTGTGTTGAAGGAATTGAAAGCAAACAAACATTCGGTCAAACGATTATTGTGTAAAATGTTTTATTTTAAACTCTTTCTCTCCCTCTTTCTATCAACATTCATAACATTGTTTGTCGTGTTTTTCATCCAATTATTAAAATATAAAATACAAAAATATATAAAAACATATAAAATATTAACTAAAAGTATACTGTAAAGTGTACATTGTTACATTTAATTTGCATTTACAAATCGTTAGATTTAGACCAAACAATTTATTCAATTTTAAATAAACATAAAAACATTTTTATAACAATAGTAATCAATAATTATTATAATATAAAGACCTGTCACTGAAAATCAGTAATGTTGAGTGAGCAAGGTTTCTAAATAGCAATAAATTCAATTCAATCATAAAAATCATTTATATTTTCATATAATTACAAAAAGTATAATTAAAATGTCAATAAATTGTAACAATTATTGTTTCTTTAATAATTTAGGTTTGAATTTAATTGAGTCAAAGACTGGCGGTTCGGCCACTCGTTCGCCGAATACAAAGCTGTCTTTCAAATGTGCGAAAGAGTCCTCTTTCCTTCGTNTATAATTAAAATGTCAATAAATTGTAACAATTATTGTTTCTTTAATAATTTAGGTTTGAATTTAATTGAGTCAAAGACTGGCGGTTCGGCCACTCGTTCGCCGAATACAAAGCTGTCTTTCAAATGTGCGAAAGAGTCCTCTTTCCTTCGTTTGCCACCAATTTTCTGTTGTTTCTCATTTTGTCTCTCATTTTGTCTCTCATTTTGTTTCACTTTTTGTTTCTTTCGTTTATTATTTTTAGGCGTTTTATTCTTATCGGTCTTCTCATCGGCTTTGGAGTCATTTGTGTCTAACTTTTGGCAGAAGTCGACGTCAAACCGGTCCTCAATATTGGCCTCAGCCTTAGCTTTGGCCGACATTTTGGACAAACGGCTTATGAAATGTGACTGACTTTCGTATAATCCCTGTTCTATCACTTCCGGCAGTTGTTTAGCACTTCTTGTCATTCCTTTCTCTATGGGATCCGATTTCGCTGTCCTTACTATCCATCGAGACATACATCAAATCAATCAATCAATCCATTCAACAGACAATTTAATTCAAAACAAACTTGAAATCAACTCATTGTTGGTCTTCTTCTTCTTCTTCTTGTTTCTATTCTTTTGTATCATTTGTTGCTTTAAATCCAAGATTTGCTGCCATTTCCTCGAAATCGTTTGATCCCTTGTATTGCTATTCAAAACAATTGTTTATTAAATTTCATACAATTTAACCGCAATTTGCGGTAAAGAAAAATACTTTTGGTTGACTTGTCTGTCGATGAGATCTTCGGATGAGTTGTCCACACATTTAAACTTCTTGTGTCTCCGACTCTTCGCAATCCTCGTGTGTCTCATGTCTTCGCCACTAAAACCACACAAAAATACAATTTAAATATTATTTCAATTAAAAACTCGGTTTCAAAATAAATGCATTCAATGTTTGAAAACATGTGATTTTGTATAACTATTTTGTGCATAAAATATGTCTTCAAATATACATTAATTTAAAACACAATTATTATTAAATCTAATTTAGTTTTGCTCTCAAACTACAGACAAATTGAATTTATAAACAATAATTAAACTTAATTTTTGTAAATA